ACCCACACCACTACCACACTCTCAGAGCTACCTCCCTCACCCTCACAGATCCCCACATCTCAGAACCACCTCCTGCCCCCTGACAGGCCCCTCCCCCTCCCCTTCCTGAAGACCTTGACCACTCACAGACCCTGACCCTCCTCCTCCTCAGACCCCCTCACAGACTCCGACCCCTCCTGAAGATGTTCCATTCTCCTCTCCCTCACAGGCCCCTCCAACTCCCCATCATAGGTCCTTCTCTCTCCCTAAGACCTTTGTACTGCCCCCACTCAGGACAGCCCTCCCCTTTACGAGCCTTCTCCCTATCCACACTCATTCTCATTTGACCCCTCTTACTCCACGCTCCCTAACCTGCCTTCTCACAAACTCCACCCCCCTCACAGAACCCATTCCCAAACCACTCACAAAGCCACCCCCTACACAGCCCTTCCCATCCTCCTCAAAGACAACTCTCCCCACCCCCCCCCCCACCAACCATCAGACCCGTCCCCTCACAGACCCCTCTTTCCCATCTTCTCTGGCCCCTCCCCTTCCCTTACACAGACCCCTCTCCCTTTCCAACCCCACTCCCTCACAGACCCATCTCCAAACCCCCACACCATCACATGTCCCTCTCCCACCCTTCATAGGCCCCCCTCTCCATCCCATCCTCTCACTGGCCCCCTTTCACGCTTCCCCTTTGTCCCCTTCCCTTCCCTTCCCGAAGACCCCTCTACCTCCCCATTCCCATTCCCATATAAACTATCCCTCCCTGCCTTACGCTCATAGATCCCCAGCATCCCCTCACAAACCTCTCTCCCAAATCCATCTACCTGCCCTCAAAGACCCCTCTACCGCCACCGACCCCTTCCATCCCCTCACCCTCACACACACCTCTCCCTATCTTTCTCCACCAACCCACACCCTCTCACTCAGACCTTGCTCCCTCACCCTGACCCAAGCACTCCTCTGCCCTCTATTCAATGCAAGGTCACCTCTCCCTCCCAGAACCCATACACCCTCTTCCTGCTCACAAACACCTTTTTCTCCTCATGCCCTCACCCCACCTCATTGTCACCACTCTTTTACCCTCTCCATCTTCAGCCCTGTCCCAGCCATCCCTCTCACAGTTCACTCTCATTCCCCCTCACACTTTCCCTCGCCCTCCCCCTCACAGGCCCCTCTCCCCATCACCTCCTACAGACCCAACTCCTGGGCCCCCTCAGAGCCCATTCCCTCACCCTCACAGTGCACAGTCCCTTTCCCTCACCTGCCTCTTCACAGATCCCTCTCCCTCCCATAAACCACTTTCTCTGCCTACACCTGATTCTGACCTCTGTACCCCTCTGAGACCACCCTCCCTTCCCCCACCTCCTCAAAGACTCCTTCCCCTCACCTACACCTCTCCTTTTCCATCATGTCCCCGCACCCTCTCACCTACGCCCCTCACAAAACCAGCCCCATCAGACCCCTCTACCACTCCTCCATATATCCCTCTCTCTAACCATCTCTGCCACCTCTTTCTCTCCACAGACTCTGAGGCATCTCTCCCTTCCCCCTCACTGAACCGCTCACTCCCTTCTCAAGACAGAGTTCTCTCCCACCCGATCACAGACCTTGATCTCACCTGAATTCTGCCTCACAGACTACCCTTGCTTCCCCTGCCCATTCCACTGCCTCGGGCTCACAGGCCTCTCTTGCCCTCCATTGTCCCTACAGGCATTTGTACCTTTCCCTCAGCGTCCCCTTACATCCCTCCCCTTTACAGACCTCTCTCCCTCCCTTGACCCCTTTCCATTCCCCTCTCTGTCAATGTCGACCCTCCTTAAAGTCCCCTTTCCTTACCCCTCCCCACCAACCTCGCACCCTCATTCCGCTATCCTACTCACAGTCCCCGACCCTTTCCATCACCCTCACAGGTCTCTCTCCTCCTCCCCCTTCATAGATCCCTCTCCTTCCCTGACCCTCTCCCTCCCCATCGTCCTCACAGGTTTCTCTAACCCTCCCCCTCCCCCTCCCAGACAAATATCTGTGTGCCTATCTCTCTCGTTCTCTGCTCAAGAGGAATGTCTCTCACCGTCGGCGCGGCCATGACGCTCCCAGAATGCAGCCGGCGGCGTGTGAGCACGCTTCCGGGTCACAGAGATAGTAGGAACTGCAGATGCTGGAAAATCTGAGATAACAAGGTGTAGAGCTGGATGAACACAGCAGGCCGAGCAGGATGGCTGACGTTTCGGGCGCAGACTTCAGGGTCTAGGCCCGAAACGTCAGCCTTCCGGCTCCTCTGATGCTGCTTGGCCTGCTGTGTTCATCCAGCTCTACACCTTGTTATCCGGGTCACAAGAGTTCATTAGACACTGGCCCCGCCCCCTGACCTAAGGGCAAAGGCCAAAGAGTGACTGGTGGGGTTGGAGAGGAGTCAACGACTGAGGGATTACAACCTCCTCAAAAAAATACACAAGGAAGACATCGGCAGAGATCCCCAGTGGAGGGTTCTCTATGTGGGAGTCCTCCCTCTTTCCTTCGGGGATCTGGGGTGGAGAGTTTTGCACACAACAGTCCCTTGTAACCGCGGATTGTGGTGGTTCAGAGACTCCCAGCCTAACTGCCTGTTTTGTGCCGCTCTGGACCATGTATACATTGGGTGCGGGCGTTTGCACTCTCTTTTTACTTACCCAAAAGGACTTTCTCCTGCTTTTGGTTGTATTTCAGCGCCACGCTCCTGACCTTTGGACACCTGGTGCAGAGGGGAGTGGGCAAATCAGAGGATCTCCTCGTGGGTCTGCTCCTGGGCCTGGCCAGGGAGCGGGCCGTTATGGCCAACTGCATGCCCCTCTTTCGTGACTAAGTCCGTGCCCGTGCCGGAGAAGGAGTACACGGTGTCCACCAATACTGTTGATGTCTTTATGGAGAGCTGGGCACCGCGGGGAGTGGAGTGCTTCATTTCCCCACTCCAATTCTATTTTGATATGATCCCTACCTTCCGTTCACACTTTCTTCCACATAGGCATTGCTCGTCACTGGTTTTTAGCCACATGGGTGTTTTTCCTGGTGGTGGGAATGTTAATAGTTTTCTACACAACTGGTGTTTTCACTGAGTCTGGCATCTACCCACGCAATGTGGGCGCTGGGGAAAAACACTACATGTGTATATTGGGTGTGGGTATTTGCACCCCCTTTTCAGTTAACTAAAAAACCTTCTTTTGCGTTTTTGGCTGCAGTTCAGCCCCACATTCCTGATCTTTGGGCACCTGGTGCAGAAGGGAGCATGCAGGTCCGAAGATCTTCTTGTGAGCCTGGCCAAGTTGGTCATTAAGAGGTCCAGGCAGCAGATCATGGGGGAGGTAATTACGACTGACTGCTTGCCCCTCTTCCGTGGCTATGTTCGAGTCCGGGTGTCCCTGGAGAAGAAGCATGCGGTGTCCACAAATACTCTCGATGCCGTTAGGGAGAGGTTCGCACCTGCGGGGAGTGGTGTGCTGTCACACCACACCACTCCCCCCAACTCTATTTTGATTTGATCCGTACCCTGCCCTGCCCTTCACTGTTTCTTTCACATAGACATTGCCCCTATGGAGCTTTGCTTGTTACTGGTTCACCGGGCGCATGTTTTTACTGGTAGTGGAAATGTCAAACTTAAAAATATAACCAGAAGATCAGACTCTCCTCAGTTCAGACGATTGACTGTAAGCTGGTTGGCCACAGCCAGTGTACATTGCACAAGTAAACAATGGGTGACTTGGTGATGGGATAGCAGCCTCTGTGCAGTTATTTCACATTTTGTCATAAGAAAAACTTGGTCTCACCACAATGAAAACAAAACTCAATTTTTTCCAGAGTGTACTTTTACGTTTACATGCATTTAGTACTGTATTGACCATTAATAGAAATTTTAAATATTAAAATCGCATTGATTTTGCCGAGAATAAGTTTTATTGGTAAATTGTAAAATGAAATATGAAGTTATGATTTAACATTAGTGAGAAGCCTGTAGTTGCATTTCATTGGCAGACATGTCAGTTTTTAGGGTCCCACATAGATGACCTTCATGTCACTGGTTGAGAACCACAGATTTAAAGTATAATCTTGAACTGTCTACTCAGGCATCAGAAAAGGGGTTTGAACCTACTACCATCTGGTTCAAATGTGGCACCAGATTTCAACTGTGACCACTAGCCTATGAGGCTTGAAATCATTTCAACTCCTCTAAGATTCATGAATAGAAAAAGACGTTGACCATGGAGAGGCTACAGGGGAGATTTATTAGAATGGTACCAGAGATGCAGGTCTTCAGTTACATTGAGAAATTGGGGCTACTTTTCTGGCAGCAAAAGAAGCTTTAAAAAGAACAAGAGATGTTACGATCAGAAATTCACTGATCGAGAGGGTGGTGAGTGCAGACTCAATAACTTTAAAAGGGGAATTGGATAGTTACTAGACAAATGCCAGTAGAACTGCTAGAGTGGCTTTTTCCAAAGAACTGGCAGACAACCAGACAATCCTTCTATGCCTATGACCTTGCTGTTGCTATTACCTCCTGCCATTACAGTAGTTTCCTTCAGTTCCTCACTCTGTAGCAATGATGCCTGGCAGGCACATGCTACCACAACAGGTTAGAATAATTAGCTGCCTTTAGCTTCCATTGTTCTTGGTTTATTTGGGATGTTTGTTCTAGGAGTGTATGAATTTAAGAAGGAAGATTGAACATTCTCTGGATCTTTTGAGGAATTCCATTATTGAGCTCTGCACATAGGAAGTCAGATGAAGGCTCCAAAATTCCCACTTTGAATTGCCAGCTATAATCATTACTTCAGCCAGCAACAAAAAAATGTTTCCCTTGTATACAAAGAACAAAGGAAATTACAGCACAGGAACAGGCCCTTCGGCCCTCCAAGCCTGCGCGATCCAGATCTTCTATCTAAACCTGTCACCTATTTTCCAAAGATCTGTAGGCAGGGAGCAGAGGGATACCAGTATAGTATAGTAACAGTATAGTAAACAGATTAAACACAAACTACTTATAAAGTTATTGCACAGTTTTATAAAAGGCACCAATTTATCAGATTTGTGTCTACAAATGCTGATCAGAAACTGCAAATGTGTGAAACATTAACCCTGAGCAACTTGTGGTACATTCACCCAGTAACTTTCAAACAATGAACATCATACCATAGTCCCAAAACCCTTGAAACAAAAGATTACATTGTAAGGGAACATGAACAAGCTAGTACTGGGCATATACCTGTAATCTACAAGCATCTTCAAGATTGCTTTCTCCTCACAACCAAGTGTTATTATTTTCTGTACATACAGACTGGTTTTCTACACGTCCTAACTTGTAAGTGATTTAGTGCATTGTTGCAGTCAGGTAATATACATTGCAGCTATAAAACTAAATCAGCAACTTGAATGTTGAACGAGAAAAGGGCAATGATGCATTGTAACAATCTCCCCAGGGCGAGACCAGTCACCCAACCTCTGAGCTCTATGAACTTAACACATCAGTTCAAAAGTAACTTTGAAAGCTCACTATTGCTTAAACTTAAGTCAAGATGGTCAACTGCCTAGTAACTTCCATCCATGTATTTTGTAACAAATATCCTTAAACTACCATCAGAACTGGAGCAGCAAACTAATAAACAGATTTCCAGCAGATTCACATAATAATGTAATTCCAGCACAATGGACACATGCTTTTCACAAATTATATGAAAATTAGAAACTAGATTTTGATTATGGCTTAGAAGTGAAAACATAAACATTATCTTGAGTGATTATATGGAGATTGGTGTACATAGTGACTACTGATAATTCTTACAGATGTTAGAAAATAATTGCCATCCAGAGAATCTCTCACAAAGTAGATGAGGTGATTCCATAGAGGGAAAAAAAAGCTTAGAGAATGATTTACACAGAGAATAAGGACTATCGCAGTGATTTACACAGAATAATGAATATCAGAGGGATTTGCAGAGAGAATAATGAATCAGTGATTTAGAGAGTAATGAATATTAGCAATCTACACAGAATAATGAATGTCACACTGTTTTACAGAGAACAATGAATGATCTATACAGAATAATGAATAGAATGATCTACAATGAATAATGAATATCAAAGTGATTTATACAGAGAATGATGACTAACAGAGGGAATTATACAGAATAATGAATATCAGAGGGACTGGTACAGAGTAATGGATATCAGCGAGTGGTTACACTGAAAGATGGAGATCAGAAAGTGATTAGATAAGGCAGTGTGGTTATGCAAGGGTGACTCAATAGCGAATGAAATTAGATAGCAATGGATTTTTTTTTTAAAAAACAAAAATTCAAAGTGAGGATTACAAGTTCATCGAGGGGGTTTGCAGAGCACAACAGAAGAGAGTGACTGGTAGAAAAGATTAAGGTCCTCCTCTCCCCTTCAACATTGTAGCTCTGATAGAAGGACTCATCAATCAGTGTCTGATGCCAGCTCTCCTTTATCAGAAATTAGTCACCATCAACAGCATTGGATGTTGAGTGGTCTGGCCTGCAAGACCCCAAACTTCTCCAAGGACGTACAGGAGCCTTCCTCACTGTAGTTATTTGGGATTTATGAGTTGATCAGTCCACAACTGTTCAAACTGAATACAGTTTAAAAAAAAATCAACTATAATTAGAAATTAGTGACAGATTATACGTGTACACACAGCAGACTCTTTCCTGTAATGAGGCTGCTATTGATACCTTCATTTCCCTTTAAAATACAATTGTACTGGTTTGACATTTCTGTTCACAGATGAAGTGCTAGCATAAATAGATGAAATCTCAACTCATGCAATTGAGAACCATGTTAAAACTCAATGTACACCAGATGAGGACCAATTGATGCAATGAAATGAAGGTGCTCTCAGCTAATCAGTAGCGTAGCTCTGGACCCAACAACAACTGAACTCCAAAACTTGCACCAACAATTTGTAATTTTACATCAACCTCAATAACTCACCATGACTCACTGAATGCCCTATAAGGAAGATGACTGCAAGTCCAGCCAGACTTCAGGTTACTGTTGTGCAATCCCAATGGAATAAAGTGCAAAAATTACTATTAGGGACATTTAATTTGCATTTACTCAGTGTGTGGCCAAAAGGCATTTTGTGCAGTCCACAAGCCGGTCCACCATGTTCCTGAACAAAGCCTCCCTGTGACTTGTATTTCCATAGTATCTTTGACAACCAGAGAATGTCCCAACATGCGATACAATCAAAGGAGTACATTTTAAAATGTAGTCACTGTTCTAACACAGGAACTAACACAGGCAGCCAATTCGCACACAAATTTGCAGAAATACTAAAATCACCATTATTGGGTAAAAGTTGAGCAATAAAACATTTGTTGAAAAACATCACTAAAGTATTTGTCTATTCTGTAGACTGAATATTAGAACATCCACTGCTGTACCTCCAGGACAAGTTCACTCATTTATTACCAAATGACCTGTTCAAAGGGTAGACTTGCTCCCAATCACCTTGTTCTCAGGACAGATCTTCTCCTAATTGCCCTCTTCCTATTGCAGAATTGTGCTCCCAGGGCACACCCATTTTTTCCACTGACCATGTCACATCCCCACGACAGTTCAACTGGTTACATACTCTTTAGGGTATTTTGCCTTTAGTCCATGTGCTGAGAGTGTGCCTGCAATGGTCAGAAAACAGCCATCAAGACCTAAAAACCAGTGCTGAAGAAATAATTGGACTGTCCTAATGTTGGACATTGTTCTAGTTTATGGATGTATTTGAAGCAGGGTACAACAGTGTCAGAACTTTATCACAAAACTTCCTCACCCTGTTATTATCGCGTGGTGCACAAGACATCACAGCTGTTTGGGACGGCCCACAGGGACTGTTCTTTGCACATATCCAGTGTCCCCAGTTCTCAATGACTAAATTAGATTGTTAGCGTAGGACCAACTCACTGGTCAGGAATCACTTCCTCGCTCCTCATCATCACAGCTTTACGGGCAGCTCTGTTCACACTACCAAACACGAGAATCGGGGGAACCTCAAGCAAAAAGAGAGGCAGCATTTGACAGCCTGGCTCAAAACTCATGGCGGCAAGAGTGATCTGGACATTTTCTTCTCCTTTTGTTTCTGTTTCGTTAATTTCAGCTCTTGGTTTTTAAATCTAAATTTTTTATTCTAACTACTATATTCTGGGATGGCGCTGGAGACTGGTGACTCTACACGTTTACTGTACTCCTACACTCAGGTACATGTGACAACTAAATCTAATCTAAACAGTTAACTCTAGAGAAAGAACACAGAAGTTTGAATTTTTGAAATTGGGTGCAGCAAGGAATCTAATAGATGGGTTCAAACAGGTATTGAATCCATTACAGCCAGCGTTGCTGAGGCTAATAAGAGGGTGAAGGCAGAATTCAGAAACTGAGGTGGAGAACCCTGAAAATACTCCATCCCAGTGATGATTCCAGTCCCCACATTTGCAGGTCCTGGCTCACACACGGACGGACACAGATTACAAATGTCAGGATAGGTAGCTAGTGTGAATAAACAGAATTTCTGCTCGCATGAAAGCTCTAACAATTCAGACAGCTCTTTAAGTGGGTATATGCTGCTTACCAGGCACAAAGGATAATATTTAAACAACTATGCTGCTAATACCTACATAGAGCAGAGGCTTCTCCAATCTAGGCTGCATTTAAAGTCAGACCCTACAGACAAGAGATCGCACCATAACCACCTCCACTAGCTAAACTCCATTCATAAGCAGTAACTGAATTGCGTACCTTGTAAATGGCCAGGCTCTACACATGAAAATGTCTGTAACAATGTAACTTCTACCCTTCCAGGCACTCAAAACACCTATCTTAAGAACAACCTCAAATTTCATTACAATGATGACATGATTATTTCATTAACTCCAAAGGTTGGGAGACACTGAGAAAGGGAGAAGGCTGGAGGTTCCTCTTTGTTGAACTTACAAGGTCAGTACTTGCCTACTCCTGCCCCCTTCTCAAGTTTTCAGAGAAAAAAATTGATTTAGGTAAACCCAGAGATACCCCAACACCATTGTTAATAACACACTATGATCATTAAGCATCACACACTGTTCTGTTACGTTCAGAGCAAAAAAAAACCTCAGTTTTACGATGGAGGGTGAAAAATGCCAGAATCTTTGGAATAGTGTGTTTGGGATATCCAGAAAAATTGGACCGCACCCTGTTTAGGAATGTTCTGGTTTTCACTTCTTACAGTAAGTGGAGGTTTGATATTCACAGGTGTAGACATGGAGAAGTTCATTTCTGCTGAAACAACAGGCACTTGTGGATTCTTTCTAACATCTCTCAACAGGAGGGTCAAACCTCTTAATGCAGAGCTTTAAACCGTGGTCCCAAAGATTGCATCATCTTGACCAGGTTCCTCCATGTCATCCTCACTAACTGAGAAATTTTGGTCACTGGGACTGGTGTTCATTAATCCATTGGTTCCCAAGAGGGGGGAATGTGCACGGTCATCAAGAAAGGCAGGCTGAGCATCAAGGTTTGGGACGTGGTCACTCTGTGAGCGCTCAGCCTCAGCCATGTATGACAGCAAGTTGTCGAGCAGGGGCCGGCTGCGGGTGATTTTATCCAGCAGCTGACTGCGGTGTCTCAGCTGGGCGATCACGTTGTCTTTCTCCTTCATCACTGTCTGCAGCCTCTGCACTGTCCCTTCGCAATCCTGCAATTTCTCCTGCACGTCCACCATCTCCCTGCAGAACAATGGCAACAGAGACATTTTAGATCAGCTACCAGTCACACTCCAGTCCCTTGTGCATTCTCCCTTTCTACCTTTATTCACCCTTTCCTTCCCTTCCTGTTATAGTGGATATAATTCACTAAAATTTAAGGCTTCATGGCTGGCATACCCCCGCCACACCACCATTACTATCAATTCAGGCGACTAACCCTAGTTCAATAAAGCATCCAGGAGGGCATACCAGAGCAGCAACCAGGCATACCTAAAAATGAGACGTCAACCTGGTGAAGCTAACACTTGGCAGGAATACTTGCATGCCAAACAGCATAAGTGGCAAATATAGACATAATGTTGAGCACCATTTGTGACTCTGAAACGTCCCATGTTCAAATACAGCAAAACCTGGACTATATTCAGGTTTGGACTGATAAGTCACAAGTAACATTCATGCCACACGAGAGACAATCTAGCCACCATACATCACAATACCATCACTGAATTCCCAACATCCTAGGGTTATCATTGACCAGAAACAGAATTGGACTAGCCATATAACCATAGTGGCTACTACAGCAGGTTAAAGGATAGGAATCCTGCAACAAGTAAATCACTTCCCGATTCCCCAAAGCCAATTCACCATCTGGAAAGGCACAAGTCAGGAGTATGATTGAATAGTCTCCACTTACCTGGATGAGTGCAGCTCCAACAATCCTTAAGGAGCTTGACAACATCCAGGACAATGCTCAATAGCAGCAGTATGTAACATCTACAAGATAACACTACAAAAATTCACCAAAGGTCTCGACAGCAACTTCCAAACCCAGGGCCATTACCATCTCAAAGCACAAGAGCAGCAAGATACAAGGGAACACCACCATAGTTGCCCTCCATACAATTCACCATTGTGACTTGGAAATATATCACTATTCCCTCACTGACGCTAGGTCAAAATTCTGGAAATTCCTCAAGAGCATTGTGGCAAGAGTTCAAGGCAGCAATTCACCATCACCTTTTCAAGGGCAACTGGGGGCAGGCAATAGATGTTGGCCAACGACACCGATATCCAATGAGTTAATAAAAAACGTGCAGTGACAGCAGCTAATTGCAGGAAAATCCACATCAGGGAAGTGGGAGACGCTTGAAATGCCATAGGATAAAATGAATGGGTGGATGTTTGATGACCGGTGTGACACGGTGGGCTGACGGTCCTCTCTCCTTACTGCAAAGACTCTGTGACTCTGCCTCTTTCCTCACTAACCCCCGACTTTCCCTCTCCTCATGCACGCCCCCATCACTGAACGGCCTGGCGAGCTGGCGCGCGTTCCTATCCCTCTGGCGCATTCCCGCAGTGGCTTTGCCTGCTGACCGGTCCTTGCGCAGGGTGAGCTCCCGGATCGCGGTCTGCAGCTCGCGGTCTTTGCCCATTAGCCGCTCGGCCTGTTCCCGCACCGTCCGCTCGGCCGCCTCAAGCCGCCGCTCCAGCTCCGTCACCCGGCGATGCACGGCCGCCAAGTGCGCGTTCGCCTCTTTAATCTGCACCGGGCTCAGCACCGACATACTGCGTAGCGGTGACCACGCTCATATACGGAGACTGAGCCCGAATGTACATCAACTTCAGTGTCGCTGCGGCAGCACCGGGCAGGCCCCGAACCGGGCGGACAGCGCGCAGGCGCATTGTGCTGGGACAGGGCAACCAACAAACCGGGCGGACAGCGCGCAGGCGCATTGTGCTGGGACAGGGCAACCAACGAACCGGGCGGACAGCGCGCAGGCGCATTGTGCTGGGACAGGGCCCGGAACCGGGCGGACAGCGCGCAGGCGCATTGTGCTGGGACTGGGCCACCAACGAACTGGGTGGACAGCGCGCAAGCGCATATGCTGGGCCGGCCCCCGCTAAAATGGGCCCCGGCTCACTTAATGCGCTTGCTCTGTAATGGTGGACCCTATGTGGGTCTTCAAGAAAATGGCCTAGAAACAAGTCGGTAGGAGAATGGCTATCGACTCTGATAGGCAGGCGAGAGTTGAAGTGGAATGTAGATATATGACTTGAGGCAGGACCGTTTGATCCGAAACATTAACTCCGATTTTTCTCCACAGATCTGCTGAGCTTTTCCAGCAATTTATGGTTTTGTCTGTGTGTTTTGAGGAACTGGGTAGGCTGTAGTCTAGTGAGACACTCGCATATAAAATTCTGCAGAATCGGGTAAGAATGACATGTGCCTGTGTGCTTCTCGTCACCTCACCTGATGAAGAAGCAGTGCTTCGAAAGCTTGTGATTTCAAATAAACCTGTTGGAGTATACCCTGGTATAACAAGGTGTAGAGCTGGATGAACACAGCAGGCCAAGCAGCATCAGAGGAGCAGGAAAGCTGACGTTTTGGGCCTAGACCCTTTTTCAGAAGTGGGCTGGTGTCGTGTGACTTCTGACATTGTCCACCCCTGTCCAACATCAGCACCTCCAAAACATCACAGATGAGTGAAGTAATAGCTGACGTTGTCACACTGATAGACTCAGGCACATAATCAGCCACTTGCAGGACAGACCAGCAAAGGTAAAGGCACAGTGGTATACAGTTGGGATGGAGTCACCCTGGCAGTCCTCATCATTGACTCCACATGTCATGAAGTCTCATGGCTTTAGGTTAAACATGGGCAAGGAAACCTCCTGCTGATTTCCATGTACTGCCCTCCTTTGGCTGATGAATCAGTATTCCACCATAATGAACAACACATGGAGGAAGCACTGAAGGTGGCAAAGGTGCAGCATCTACTCTGGTTAGGGGATTTCAATGTCAACCACTAAGAATGGCTTGGCAGCAGAACTACTGATTGAGATGGTTACGTCCTAAAGGACATTGTTGTTTGATTGGGTCTGCAGCAGGTGGTGACGGAAAAAAAGGGGAAAAACATATTTGACCTCGGCCTCACCTATTACCTCACCTTGCCTGCCATTGATGCGTCCGTGACAGTGTTAGTAAGAGTGACCACCTCACAGTCCTTGTGCAGACAAGGTTCTGCCTTCACGTTGATAACACGTTGTGTGTGGCACGATCACCGTACTAAATGGGACAGACTTCAAACAGATCAAATAACTCAAATTGGGCATCATTGGGGCACAGGGGGCATGCCAAATACTGTACCAGAGATAAAAGTGATGTGTCAGCCTGGTGAAACTACGAAACAGGACTACTTCTGTGCCAAACAGCAAGTGATAGATTTCCCAACCAACAGGTCTGCAGTCTTGCCACATCGAGTCTTGAATGGTGGTGGACAATCAAACAACTCACAATCAGGAGGTTCCACAAATATCCCATCTTCAATAATGTGGGAGTCCAGCACATCTGTGCAAAAGATAAAGGCTGAAGCTTTTACAGCCATCTTCAACCAGAAGTGCCAATGGATTATCCATCTTGGCCTTTTCAAGTAGTCCCCAGCATCACAGATGCCAGTCTTCAGCCAGTTCGATTCGCTCAATGTAATATAATGAAATCACTGAAGGCACTGGATACTGCAAAGGCTATGGACCCTGACAACATTCCAGCTAATAGTACCAAATACTTGTGCTCCATAACTAGTAACACCCCTAGCAAAGCTGAATTTGAATACAGTTCTCCTCACAGGTTACAATATTCCCATCTTCAAATTTTGAAAATATTCCCTGTACACCCAGATGTGCAGTCATTAATACGTTAAGAAAAACCCAGTAGTCTGAGTACCAATGTAATCCTAGCTTATTCAAAAGACAGTTTGTCATCACTATTACTCATTTCTATCTTTCAGCCAATTTCCTCTCCATGCTGTCACTGTCTGTCCATTTTATTTCATGTTCTTAAACCTCGCTGACAAACCTGATGTTTAAAATTTTATCAAAATGTTTTTTGGAAACTCACCTAAATCACATCAATTGCAATATCAACTCCTGCCCCTCTCATTGGATTGGGTTCAATAAAGTAACAAAGTTAAGCATGATTTGCCTTTGACAAACTTACTGGTTTTTGTCACAAAATGCATTTATTTAAAACATCTATTTCAAAATGAAGTGCCTATCAATAGAAGGGAGCAGGTGTAAGGATTGCTTTTAACTTTCAAAAACAGGTTTTTTTTTTAATGGCTAGAATTGTCAACTGGTTTAAATCATAGCACAAAATATGATGTTCAATGATGCTTCATGTGCCAGCATATAAACACGCAGTCCACTTATCATTGGACTGTGCATCAGAGTCGTGAGCTGGGTGGTCAGCAGATAGCCCTTGTTACTCAACAGTCACCCTCTGTTGAAAGTAAGCATGCAGAGGCAGCAGGCAGTAAAGAAGGCAAACTATATA